TAATGATATATGGTACCAGGGTACCTTGACATACTATTATGGAGTAGTAATTTATACTAAAATTCAGTATTAATTATTACCACTACAAGATATGTTAAGATTCAGATATTAGGAAAATATAATTATAGAATATTAGTTTCATCATACTTAGTAATAGCCAAGAGAAAGACTCCTGTCAAAAGTATAAAATTCATCTCAGACACATACCGTTGAAAAGGTATAAGTCTACGTAGTTTAAAAGATGGTTCTAGATACATCCTAGCCTAAAGGTAATAAGGATTTATCTTTTAGACTTACTTTTAGTACGACAAAACTATGTCTACACTGTTTCATAAATTGCCATGATTTATTTTATAAGGTAAACATGTCATCACCTATATTAGACACTTCAATTTAGGCTCATTAAGATTTAACCCACAGTAAGCGTGTCTACTATACTATAATCATCCAAGCGTCCAGTAAATGAGTCAACAAGATTAGAGCCAGTTGAATTAGGATTAGCAGGATTAAGTACTCAGTCTTGTCATTTCATTGGTTATTATAGGGCACGCCCATTTTGTATCATCAACGATTCGTGACCTTTTATTGTTCAATTCTAGATAAATAGTTAGGAAATCAAATGTTTAGACTCTCCCAACGCAGGTTAGCTCTGGCCCATAGCCCAGAGGGTTGTAATGACTCTGTGGCCACCCTGTGTTATTCTGTTTTTGTTAGTAAAGGCCAGACCAATTTTATTTCTGATTTTACTGATATTTGTCCTCAGAAGAAGTAATATTCCTTTTAAATACCAAAAAGTATTTTACTTTTGGCAATTTATGAAGTGTATATGGGGAAAAAACAATGAAAAATATCTTTTTGTAAGTTTACATTTTTTGCCCATAGAAACATTAGGATTTTAATTTTTAGCAGGGAAAATTAGTTTTGATTTTTCTTATTCTTGAAAAATATGACCAGCGGATCGTAAAACAAACAAGAAATAGAATTAGTGTGGCCTAAAATTGTAATTAGCTTCTTGTGACTTTGGACACTGTTCTGAGCTAATTCCCCACAATGATCAGCACGCCCTTCAGAAGGGATTTCGTCAGGGAACCTCATTGGTACCCAGCACAGGCAACCATAACAAAACGATCACCAAGTCAGCTAGTCTGACCAACTGACCTAATACCACACATCACTGCGTATAGTGCGACCACACTTAAAGGAGCACCCCTCCTCTCCAAATCAAGGCTAATCTATCCACCTCGTCTATAACACGACCCTGAATGAACCATATCGTCAGAGCATACATGATCCCCTAAATATGTAATGAAAACATGTTTGTGATATATGCCAAATTATTTCGAAGTATTTGAGACGACCCATTTCCTTCTTACTTCTGACTCCCCAGGCCAGCTGGCTGGGCAGTCGTAATCGAGGTGAGGATCATTCAAACTTTATGTGCAAAATATGTATAGTATGCACAATTAATTCACCAGCAGTGGAAGCTTACATCCAAGAATATTTCATCAAACAATATCTCATACAAAATTTTAATTTTTACTCAACAATATCACTGGGTATCAGACCAACGCATTCATATACCGTATGTCACCTTGAAACCACCATAAGGACCAACTCCAATCCGATATGCAAATGAGGTGTAGTCACCTCCTCGAAATTAGGACCACAAGTCCACACAATTCTATACAGACATTTGCAAGACCTACCTGCAAGATATTTGCATCCTTCTCTTCCTGCAACACCTGGGACTTTTTGTCCTTCAGTTCGATCTCAGACCTCAGACCTTGTTCCCATTTCGCCAGCTCCTTGTGCACCCTGGCAACACGCACATCTTTCTCAACCACACGTTGGCTTTGTGACAATGAATCAAAACATTACACAGCTAAAATACATATCTCTCGTGAGACACTAGGGAGATTCTATCTATCTTAATTTGTCGTTCAAGAGAATTAGAAACGAAACGTCACCTGACTACGGTTGAAACGGATAGTAATTGAAAGTACTCCAGTACTCATCTTCAGCTACTGGCGAGTACTTGAGTACTCGTCATCGAGGCTGCGTCTTTGTTTCAGGTACAAATTTTAAAATGTTAAAAGTGTGTTCTTTAAAAACATAATGATCCCATTTGACTATCCAAGTGTTGTTATGGTATGCGTACATTATATTTGAAGCTCATTGAATTAGAAATAAACAATGGGCACGTTCTTACGTAATCAACACCATTTACTATGTTGCATTCTCATACTAGTTATCAATTGCATGACCTAATGGCATGAATAAATGACACAGGTTTACATACAACTCCAAACTTTGGAGCGTGATTGCTCTGCCATGCCGAGGCTGACACAACTACACGTGGAGTGAGGGGAGAAAATTCTTCTTGGATGAGTACTCGAGTACCAATGTAACCGTTTCAGCCCTACACCTGTAACAAGTTTATTTGAAGAATTGCGTATGAATACATCCAAGCGAACATGAGTGATGGAAGAGTGAGTGAGTGAGTGACACCATTACGCCATAAAAAACAAGCACATAAAAAAGTAGTGCTAACATTTATTGCATTAAATTCTGCAAAATATAAGTTTCACCGTTTCTTGTAAACTTTTATATTGCTGTAACAAACTGAAACTTGTCAGCAATAATCACTTAATTGCGGTGACCATCTTTGTTTACAGCTAAGGGAGGTGAAAGAAGTCTGAAAATATTGACCAATCAGCAATTACCCCGAAACTTACCAACACGATATTGGTTGATCTTCTACCTGGGTACTGGATGATATACTGATGTACTTTAACTTGGAAACCTATCTCTTCAATAACAGCACTAGCTTCTCTTTTAACACGCACGCACGTGTCAAGCCAATAGTGAAGCCCTATAGAACAGAACAGAATTATATATGTTACAGGGGAATGTGTGAAACCAGAGTTTCACGTAATCCCTCATTCTCTTCCCACAGAGGTTACTCCTGTCATATCTTCCTACGTAACCTCTGTTCTAATACGGCCATGTTCCCAGTTCTCGCAAAATCAATCGACAAGATGTTTTATTGATGTGACGCTTAACACATTTAATGGTTAGCTTGTCCGTAGTCAACGAGGGGGTGCATTCGTACCCACTGGCCCCTTTCCGTAACCTCCAAGAGGGACTCGTCCCCTCTCGATGCTTGTTATGTGCGAAAATACGACAAACCAATCAGAACGTGCGTAATGATGACGCTGGCTGTGCTTTGATTTAAAATAATCCCAGCTACTACCTTATTGTTTAAAAAATCGATTATGACAATATGTGTTTGTTTTAACAAATTGCATGAAAAAATATGTATCGTCATATTGAAAGTACTAAGAACTTAGCTAACAGCTAATAGAATTGTGCTAAAAATTGTCTTATGTGAAGTTTTGAAAAGAATCATGCGATTAACGGTGAGAGATTCAAATACACTGTCCAACATTTCTGACGATCTTGCGGGTTTGTTGTGGTGGATCGTACGTGCGCTTCCCAGCAGTTTTAGGAAATGCAATCATAAATCGCTACGAGTTTCAAAACAATAATATTATATCTGTATGTAACAACAGTCCGTTTGATTTCATTTGAAACCGATGAATAGCTCACAAACAGAAAATCTAATAATTGCAACAAAACCAAATTTTGCACAGTCACATGAAATCGACCAACTCTCGTTCTTGTGTAAAGTAGTTCTGATGTTCATGCGCCAATATGAAATCCTTACAGTGGTGGGGCACGAGTCGCTATTCGGCTTGTCCCGGAATAATACGAGTTGGTCACGAATGTATGAAATCCTTCCAGAGGGGCACGACTCGCTATTCGGCTTGTCCCGGAATAACACGAGTTGGTCTCGAATGTATGAAATCCTTCCAGAGGGGCACGACTCGCTATTCGGCTTGTCCCGGAATAATACGAGTTGGTCACGAATGCGAGGGGCGAAGAGCATTTGTAACTACTCGCCTCTTTCCGTGACCTACAAGCAGACTCGTATGGGTGAAGAGAGGCCATTGATCCGCCGTTACCATTCGTAACTACTCGTGTCATTCCGGCAAGCCGGATGGCGTAGGTCACTTCTGAAACAACATTACTGATTGCACAACTAAATCTGATTCCAGCAAATCACGAATCAGAACACTCGCACCATGAAAGGGTCGTATTAGAACAGAGGTTACACTTGTCAACAAACCCTTAGGAAGGTTACGTAGGAGTAACCTCTGGGAAGAAAAATGATAGAGACGGGGACGAGTTTTCTTTGGAGGTTACGGAAAGGACGTGTGACGAATGAGATAGAGCCAGTCAGACATTTTAGCTCGACTGCATAACACCTATTTTGAGAAATTCTTACTCGATCGATTTTGGTTGGTTTATTGTTTAACGCCGCACTCGGCAATATTCCAGATATGGCGGCGGTCTGTAAATAGTCGGGTCTGGACCAGACAATCCAGTGATCAGCATCATAAGCACATCGATCTATACAATTGGGATATGTCACAAGAGGGCATTATTTAAATAACACGAAGATAAGTTGCCATATCTGGGTTGATCAATAGCTGAATATTTGTCAAATGTATAAAGCCTTACATTATACTGTACAGCAAGCACATTTTCTTGAGTTAGAAACAGCTTAAATTTGGTCTATTCCTTGTAAAAAATTACACAAGCCCATTTTGAGAAATGCGGTTATTTCGTGATGGCTGCTATCGCTGCATTGTAGCATATCAAGAGATACAGAACATAATCGTGAGTAACTGAATGCATAAGACTCTTGAAGTATTAGATAACAGTGAATCACGAGGCCAAGACCTTATGAGACCATTATCAGATATGCTTTTTAACGAATCAAAATGATGCATTGGAACATGTGATCAAGTTCAGGTCAATGTTCAATGTATCGAACTATTTAAACGAATGATACCATTAACACGGGTAGAGTAGGTGCGGGCTTGCCAATGGACCTAGGCGAATCGCCGTCACACTGTTTCCCCACTGTGTGACACGCCTACCCTTTCTTGTGTTGACGTTGCATTAAAGAGGTGGACTTCAAAAGTGGGCGGTGTGTATAGTGGAACCCTGTTGTTGCGTGAACTAAGAGACCCCCGACGGACCAGGCGAGTCCGGGCTTACACCCCCATGACGAACAGAGAATGGCAATACGACAGGGTACTCTGACGCCCGAATCACGGTATGAGCTCCGCCCGTTACCCCGCTTGAAATGTATTTTTGTTCATTAGGATTATTTCGAGGGTTTTGGGTTAGGTTTAGGGGTTAGGCTTTACGTTAAGGCTTTTATCCAAAACGGGCGGAAGTCTTAACCCGTATCACTACTGGTGACCCACTTTTACCCAATGGCGTTCACCGACAACTGGGACTTTGATGCAGGAGATAGTATGTACAAATAGATATATGTGGTCAGAAATGTATGTTGGTTTTCTAGTTTTTTTTTCTTTGTAACCTTGAGGAGCGGTCAGATATTCCAATAAATACAGTTTTAACTGATGTATTTTGTGTCGGTCATGGCGTCACATAGCACGAAAACTTTGCTAATTTCTGTTGTATTTACCAAATCAATGCAATTCCTCTATATTTTAATTCCCTGTATTCTTGCTTCAATTCCTGATTTCCCATGCGTACTCCCAACATATTCAAGGAATAAACGAATGCATCTCAAAATACGACAATGCTGCAGTGTAAGATCTGAATTAAGATTTGTTGCATATTAAACAAGTACAGTTTTTCCGAAAGTACAGCGTCTGTTTTCACACCTTTATCCTTTTTGCTTTTGATTTGAGGTAGGCGCTTTATATTGATAACAAAGACGTCTATTGCTTTCTATCATCATCCTTTATTACGTATATATGGCCACGAGGCCAACAGTACAACATGTGTGTAGTAGGACATGCATACGCGCCACACTGAGAGAATGTAGATCTTGTTACAATTGATACAATTATGTGTTCACAGATTTGTGTTTTCGATCGAAGTACAAACACTTGTTAAGAAAGATCCAAAGTCTTAATAGTCTATTCGGTTACAGGCCGGGGAAATTACATTTCGAAACAGATAGCCAAAATTGATTTGGGCTCCCGGCAATAGTTATGTTTGCGTGAACATGGAATCTGGCTCTCCTGGTTATGCTGTGAAAACATGTTTAATGTTTCAAACAGGTTACCGTATTTAACAAAACAAGACATGTTTCCTCATAATTTTATTCAGATCACAACAGGATTTGTTACTTTACTTAGCACAATATGATATACTAATAGGTATATAACATATAACAATAATATCACACAACTGAACGTGTACATCTTATATTCCTTAAATTAGATACCGGTCTAGATAAAATGCGGCCTTCCGGCAATAGTCATTTTGAAATGTGGCTTTCCGGCCTGATACACAGGGTCGCCTGCCACCGAACATATACAATGTTTGAAGCCAATTTCTTGTGTCCTTTGCTGCGATATGAAAATGAGACTCAACATATAGATTCTAGTTTCTTTATTTACAATAGTGAAATGTTCGCGATGTTATTCTCACTAGCCTCCTTTTATTAGTACCAGGACATTAAACTGAACAAATGAAACTGAGCAGCCATATTGCAAAACCTGTTGTAGTCATAACAAGCCACTTTTCTTTAAAATGAAATAACATTTGGGTGTTTATGTAGTTGGCAAAAAGTAATTTTGTTCTTTAAATATCTAAACTAACATATATTTTGATCATGATAATTGACCTTAATTGTTTTACTATAATGTCCATGCCATGTTTGTCTCAGTAAAGGGTATCTCTTCCAGAAACGTTTGACAAAAGATGAACATTGGCACACAAGGGTTTTGTATGCAAAAAAACCCAACAAAACTGGTACCAAGGTTTATAATGTCACTGACGGGGGTCTTAGCACTATGTACTTTTCTACAGAGCTAAGACCTTTCAGTTAAAACATATACCCTGATGACAGTGTTTTGCGTTTCAAGCCCCAGTTGCAGGGCTTTTGGCAAGTATGTTTCACATTTCACAAAGAGGACTCTTTGAGAACCGCCATGAACAAATCGTGACAATCACAAGACAATGAAGTTGAACCCTTACCTGAATGCTAATAACTATAAGAATCGAAGATTCAAGGAATCACAAGTAAATTTAACAATGACACACATTCCATAATAATACCATTAACAATGTTTCAATCTTTTGAAATCAACAAACTAAATACAATTATTGTTAAAATAGTTTGTTTGTACAATTTATTTCTTTTGTAGAAAGCCTTTTGGCTAATTGGTATATTTCTGAGGCGTCTGTAGCTGAACATACTGAACTTCACCTGAATCATAGACACGAGGGGCGGTGAGGTAGCCTAGTGCAAGCGTTCGCTCGTCACGCCGAAGACTCGGGTTCGATTCCCCACATTGGTACAATGTGAAGCCCATTTCTGGTGTCTCCGCCGTGATATTGCTGGAGTATTGCTAAAGGCGGCGTAAAAACTAAACTCACTCACTCATACACAAGATAACAACTTTGGTCTGTTTCAGCAGTCGGTATTCTTCGTCTGAGTGTTCGACAAAATAAAGTCATTCAGCATGTTAAAAAGGTCACTAATTCAGTTGCTTTTTCACATATTTATGAGCAAGTCGAGTAGATTGAAGAAAACTCTGACGAATTATTTTGATGTTTTGCTTATTTTTAGGACATTATTTTGCTTCCCATGGTACGGTAAATATTAAAATGGCACTTGAAATATTTTCAAGGTGCCCTCGCGGCATGACTTATATATCAATAATCACTTTAATTCATTTAATGGAAAATGCGATTATTTTAACAAAATCAAATGTTTGAAAACCGGTTTTGTACCCCAACAATTTATCTATTGCCCTCTCACTATGGCAGTTTAACATTGATGGGCGTCGCCATTTTGAATGTCAGTGCGCGTAACAGGAAATCCTGTTTTGGATGATAACATAGTTGTGGAACACATGCTTCATTTTGGGGTTACACTTTCTCTGTAAAGTACAGGTTCTAGTACGAGATTCGAACCCACACCCTTAGGAAACACTAACACTTTAATAAAACATGGTCTTTGGATATGTGGACATGATCTAGATAGTTATTAATTTTACTCCAGTGTCATTCAATAATTATGTTAATTGCCGCAAAAGGTGTGTACCTCCGTTAGTTACATTCGTGACCAATTCGTGTTATTCCTGGACAGGTCTTCTTTGAGGTTACGGAAAGGGGCGAGTGGCGACGAATGCGTTTGTGCCGTACAACTTCCGTTTACCTTATTCAGAGCAATCACAATCATATTACATCCACTCATACCTCGAAACCATGTGCAGTTGACAAATGTGGATATGTAAATATAATGTTTGTTTACATGGGTTGTACGGTTCCCATGTGATGCGACCAGAACTGGGATAACTAATATTGAGAATTATACGTCTTACTGTCAACTATGCATATCGACAAACAATTATTAAGATCAAAATCAGCTGCACAACTCGTGTCCTTTATTTTAACTACTGATCGCAAAAATGCCAATGGCAGTGCTCCATAGTCGATGTCCGCCATAATAGCTAAATATAGCAGCGAAGAAAATGTAGAAACGTGAAACTGAAACGAAATAGAATTCATTTTTCATACGCTTTACTGTAATTACTCTACTAGCTTAAAAAAAGAAGTGAGCGACCAATTAATGTTCCTGGTTGTGGATGCTGAATTTAGGTGTCAGGTGTTTTCATTCATTTTTATTCATAATGATTCATTCATTCCCAGAAATGGTTACTGCTCAACTTGAAATATGACTTTCTTGCAATATCTAATGATATTTTTAAAATATAGCTAATTATTCCTTTTAACAATATATGTTTATGCCCACAAATAGAACCAGAAAATATATGATGTGAATGGTATTGGATTTTGATTTTATAGTTTAATAATTATGCTAATATGTGTAAACATATAGTAAGTTCTATCTAAATATCGGCAAGCCTGGCCATTTTGCAGTGTTTTATGTAATAATACAGTAAATAGTTTCTTTTAAAAAGAACGGGGAATAAAAGAAAATTAAATTATGTCATAATTATTTTTTTAATGATGTTACATCCATTCTTGATGGGTATGTATGTATAACAATTCAAGTTTGTTTTGGGATTTAAGTTATTTGTGTTATGCCATTTGTGAGAGTATATAAGAGATTGGTATGTTGCTTGGTCATACTTTTCAGAGAATATTTCTTATGAAATACTGGAAAATATACAAGTTCATGTACACATTCATGACACTGTAAAAAGAGTGGTGATCTATTATTTATAATGGTAGGGTGTATTCAGTAACACGCCATCACACATAATACTATGCTGATAATGCTGAATGAAAGGTCCAGTTAAAGTTCTCATCCCCAAATGTTCACATGGCCCCCTAAGCAGTTAGTGGCTCCCTATTTTTATAACATGTTTAGCCTCCAAGTAATGTTGTGTTAATATTACTGCTATTAGCATATAAGATTTGCCAGTAATGATCATTTATAGCTTTCATCATTATTGTGTACATGTAACAGACACCAGACATACAAGGCATAATTACTTCAGAATGAAAAAAGTGGGAGAGTTTGTGCCCCATCTCAGAAGGCTATAGTTATAACTTTGAAGAAAAATGATGGTGTAGAAATTATCCAAAAATGTTTCTTTAATGTTCCTTTGAAAATCCCCTTCCTGGTCAGCTTGATATAAATGGGAAATTCACTGAGCCCTTCATAGCAGCTTGAACTTGTTATTCCATGCATTGTCATCAATAACATTATATTTGCTGAACTAATTAGCGGTTAGAGTTGTCCCCCCTTCACAATTTGCTTGAAAAGGTCATCTGCTCATTGTGTTAGAAGGCCAAGCAGCTGAAGCTTCTTTGATGACATATTGTTACTGAGATGAAACTGTCAAGGTAAATGATGCCTTCATATTTACCTTTTTGTGTGTAGTTTTGCCCAGAAACCAATGCTACCTGATGTGGATATGGTTGTCAGGCTCAATGACTTAGTCATTGTTTAGAATCAAGTCTCAATGATTGCATGTGTGGCTGCTTATGATCTCAATAACTGGATTGTCTGGTACAAACTCAGTTATTTACAGATATCATGTAGCTAGAATATTGTGTAGCAACAAACAACAAGCAAGCAAAACAATTTATGCCAGC